GAACATCAAATGTTTCCACATTCAAAATCTGGAGGTTCTATATATATATGCTCCATGTTCATGCCTAGTTTATGTAGGTTCTGGGAATTTAAACTAGGTCCTTGTGCTTGTGAGGAAGGTACATTTCTTTTTTTTTAATTTATTACAGATTTCTGTCTCTTCCCCACCTCCGCCTCCCCTTTCCCTCCCCCTTCCCCAATCAAGTCCCCCTCCCTCGTCAGCCCAAAGAGCAATCAGGGTTCCCTGCCCTGTGGGAAGTCCAAGGACCACCCACCTCCATCCAGGTCTAGTAAGGTGAGCATCCAAACTGCCTAGGCAAAACCAATAGGTGCAGTAGGATCAAAAACCCATTGCCATTGTTCTTGAGGTCTCAGTAGTCCTCCTTGTCCGCTTTGTTCAGCGAGACCGGTTTTAACCCAGGCTTTTTCAGACCCAGGCCAGCTGGCCTTGGTGAGTTCCCGATAGAACATCCCCATTGTCTCAGTGTATGGGTGCACCCCTCGCGGTCCTGAGTTCCTTGCTAGTGCTCTCTCTCCTTCTGCTCCTGATTTGGACCTTGAGATTTCAGTCCGGTGCTCCAATGTGGGTCTCTGTCTCTGTCTCCTTTCATCGCCTGATGAAGGTTAATATTCAGGAGGAAGCCTATATGTTTTTCTTTGGGTTCTCCTTCTTATTTAGCTTCTCTAAGAACCCGAATTAGGAAGGTACATTTTTGACTGAACTATTTTCCCAGCTCCTCTACAACTTTCCCTAACTTTTGTATCATATAAAGTAATGATTTCTTATGGCATTTTCATACAAATCATACTTCAATCCTCTACTATTCTGCCTTTCCCTCTGTAATGAGGATTAAAGATGTTGTCTCATTTATGCCAGACTAGTCTCAGACCACTGAGTCCCCAGCCCCTCACTGTTGATTGCCAGAGTCCAGGTATGGTCATTTGAATGAGATTGATCCCATAGACTCATATGTTTGAATGCTTGGTCTTCAGTTTGTGGCACTGTTTGGGAAGGATTAGGAGGTATTGCCTTTATAGGAAGTGTGTTGTGGAGGTGAGCTTTGAGATCTCAAATGTCTACTCATTTTCAGTTAGCTCTTGGTCTCTCTGATTCATACTTGTGGAATAGGATGGTGCCTCTTCATAGTAATAGAAAAGTAACTAAGACACTAGGCAACTGCTCTTCACTTGTTGCAATGCCCACTCTTTTAAGTATTTATTTGGACATAGGGTCTTGCTAGGTTACGTAAGCAATGGTTGATGTTTAATCTCAGCTTTCCTAATGCAGAGATGAGAAGCAAGGGTGGCCATGCAGCTCCTTAGGCCTCCATTTCTTAATAAGACTTCACTTCTCTTTACTGGAGAGAGAGAGACAGATGGAGTGAGGGAGAGGAAGCAGCATCCTTTTTGTGAAGTTCAGCCAATGCCTGTCTGATGTTGGCAACAGAGTTCAATGATTCAGGAAGGAAAAATGTCAGGAAACCACGGTGATTTCAGGCATTGCATCTGTACTTTTCTGACCTTGGCAATGTGCCACAATAGACTTGAATGACCCTGGGAACTTTGTCCTGCCAAGTGGGTTTATCTGGCTCTGAACTTGCATCATTATTCTAATGCAGGATTCCCAGTAGGAGCCATGAACTGCATTTCATACAGTAGCTGTCATAATCTTCACATTTTGGGGGAAGATATATTGCCTTGACCTACTGATAGAAGTACATATGTATTAAGAACCTCTTTCTTAGGCCACACAGTGGATTAGAACATCAGCCTGGGATACAGAGGGAGACCTTGTCTAAGACAAACAAAGAGACCAACATCCAAATGTATTTGATGTGGGACTCCCCTCTGTTGTGAATACCATTGGTTAATAAAGGACTGTCTTGGGCCTTCGCAGAGCAGAATAGAAGTATGCAGGGAAAAATAAACTGAATGCTGGGAGAAAGAAGATGCAATCAAGAGAAGTCATGTAGCTGATGCCAGAGACAGACGTAAAGGAACCTAGCCAGTAAGCCATAGTCACATGGAAATGCACAGATTAATGGGATTTGATGGAACAAGATCCCCTGATTGGTCTCCAAGAAACCTAAAACGACTTAGGCCAGCAAACAACAGGAAGTAATTTAGAGCAAGCACCACCCAGATTCTCAAAATGATTGTTTACAAATGCTTCTTTTCATTTAAAATGGGTTGGGTATAAATAGTTTATGGTCACAGTCATTTCTAGTAATCTGCGTATCGCCATGAGGCTGTGGATTCCCAGCTAAAGTTCCCAGCGTCTGTCTCCAGAGGCTCCATGGCCTTTCCCTAACTCTGCTTTCTTCATTCCAGCATTCAGTTTAGTTTTCCCTGCCTAGTTCTGCTCTATCCTATCATGGGCTCAAGACAGTATCTTTATTAACCAATGGTACTCACAGCATACAGAGGAGAATCCCACATCAATAAGAATTTTAAGATTGGTTGAGTGTTCAGACAAAATTACATAAGAGACATGACTTAAACAAATCACAAAGACTTTCTAGGATGATGACAGGTATGAGAAAGAAGCCATTCCTGAACAGCAGCTGGTTCTAGCGAAAGAGTAGAGCCAGGTGGGTGAGGTCACAGTGTGACAGAAGAGAGGCCAGCACTGAATCTTCAGGTCACAGGGATGAACTGGCTTGGTGTGAGCGAAAGATGGTAAGAACTGAAATGATTTAACTAAGCAGGCAAGAAAAAGCCTCCTTATGTCCTTATCTCTTTTCTGTTGCTACCACAAAATTCCAGAGGCTACATTCTTTATAAATTAAAGGCTTATCCTACACAAAACTGTGCAGTGTGGCAGTCTAAGATCAAACAGTCTCTTTTTCCAGCCTTTAGTGAGAACCTTTCTTGTGTGTCATAAGACAGTAGAGGACAGGAAAACCTGTTCATGCAGAAATGGTGAACCATGTGGATTGGCTTTGTTTAATAATAATCAACTCTCTGAGAACTCAGTCCTCTCTGTGAGACCAGCATTAACCTATTCTATGGATCCGCCCAAAGACCCAGTGCCTCTCACTAGATTCCATCTCCCAAGGGCTCTGACACTTCTCAAACCATCCATATTGGAGACTAAATCAACAGCAGAGAATCCATGAAGGCATAGCACATGGAACAGGCAAGGAGAAAGAACAGCTGGTCCAGACAGATGCCTCTGGATATCAAGTGGTAGCGATGTACTGTGGTGAACCCCAGACACAACCAGCTTGGCTCTCTCAAGTGCATTGTAGATGAGGCAGGAGCCTGATTCAAATACACCTTCTAAAGGCTGTGTCAGCTCTCCTTTCTCCAAACCCATGTGCAGCTGACAAGCCCTCTGGAATGTTTCTTGAGAGCTTCTCTGGTAGATCAAGAAGCTGAGATCCTTCTAGGCATCTGTGTTGATGTAAGATGGTTGTGTGGGCTTTAATCAGTGTGTCAGTTACAAATACTGAGTGTTAATGGTGACATTCTTTTGGCCAGTGGTAAAGACACAAAGAGGAGCTGGACCATCAAAGCTACTTATCTGTGAATCAGAGACTTATTCATCAATCTAAGTATCTGTCTAACTATTATCTGTATATCCATGTATTATTTATTTGTCTATCAATCTGTCTGTCTTCATTATCATCATCATCATATTCGTGTTTGTGTGTGAATGTGTTTGTGAATGGTCCTTATGCATATCTGATATCTGAAGAAACCAAAGAGGTCATCAAATCTCACAAACCTGGTATTACAGGCAGGTTTAGCTATCTGACATGGGAGGCGGGACAAAATGCAGGGCCTCTGCAACAACAGCAGTGCTCTTAGACACTGAGCTACCTCTCCTGCTGTAACTATTAAGTTTTGAGTTAAGATGTTTTTGAACTGGGTCACCTCTCAAGAAGCCTACCTCTATGAATTTTAAAGATGAACACTTTCTTACCACTGATGTTGAACATCAAGATTGGTCGCTGTCTCAGCCCCTTGTAGTCACTACCTCCCCTTATCCTGACACACCATCAACTGCATCTGTGTTTGAACATCATTTAGATGCAGCAGATAAAAACAAAACTTGCTTTTGTGTAGCATTAAGTTGGCAGGTTTCACTTACACCGTTGATCCGGTCTGAGGCTTGTTAGTTTATTGTTGCATAAGATTTGATGCTGTGACCCCATCTAAAAACATAAATACATCAACACCAAACATACGCAGAGATTTTTCTTAGCATTTTCCCCAAACAACACTGGGCACTGACCATTTTCATAGCCTTTCATTTCTATTAGCTGCAGTGCAATCTAGAGAGAGTAAAGGTTACAGGAGGACAAGGGAGGGTTGTTTGCTAACATTGCACTATGCTCCTCAAGGGCTCTCAGCACTGCAGGGTTGTCATGTTCCTGGGACCAAATCCCTGTAGATGCCCTGATAGTTTCATGGCCAAGTATTTCCCTAACTGTCCATACTGCAGTCATGACTCACATTCATGACCACTACTAGGTGACTGTCACTTTCCCTTCCCAAGTAACCCAGTGGGTGGGTCAGGGCTGGTCTCTCTGAATGTTGTCAGGAGGTCCAGTCAGGAGCTGGACCACAGGAAGCATGGTTCAGCTGGCCAGACTGAAAGGTATGGGCATGGAACTAATGCATAACTGCATCCATATCTGGATGGATTATTTTTTTTGAGATGGAGTCAAATGTAGTTTGAGACTGGCTTCAAACTGGATGTGCAGACAAGGATGACTACTGATTCTCTGGTCTCTACTTCTCTTGTGCCAGGATTATAAACAAGTGTTGCCCTGTCTCCCTACTCTACAGTGCTGGTGTACTGATTAGAAAATCCAACCAATCAGTGCAGACCCTGCCTGTCTGGTGAATTAACCTTCACCTCTTAGGTGCTCAGGAGAGAAAGGGTGGCAGCCAAGGGGTTCCTATTTACCAGTCTGTATCTAGGTGTTTTCATAGTGTAACAACAACGTCTGCACCACCTAACCACAACAATTGTATCCTTATGCTTGGCAGCTTCGAGAAAAATATGGAGACGTGTTCACAGTGCACCTGGGACCAAGGCCTGTGGTCATGCTGTGCGGGACAGAGGCCATAAGGGAGGCTCTGGTGGACCAAGCTGAGGCTTTCTCTGGCCGGGGGACCATTGCTGTGCTTGAGCCTATTGTACAGACATATGGTGAGATACGGGACAGGGTGAAGTGGCAGATGTGGTCTAGGAAGATGTGGGTGAGAGGTGGAGCCCAAGCCGTGGGGAAGGACTCAGGGTCTTTAATCTTCCATTGTAACTCACCCATGCTTCACCTACGTTCTTAGGTTTAGTCTTTTCCAGTGGGGAACGCTGGAAGACCCTTCGGCGATTCTCTCTGGCCACCATGAAGGACTTAGGGGTGGGCAAGAGGAGTGTGGAGGAGCGGATGCAGGAAGAGGCCCGATGTCTGCTGGAGGAGTTGCGGAAATCCCAGGGTGAGTCCCAGAGAATGGGTGGAAAGGAAGATGGTGACACAGGGATCTGAGTGCGGAGCTTAAGAAAGAGAAAGACAAGGGCAGAGGAACAGACAGACAGACAGACACACACACACATACACAAACACACGCACATACACGGACATTGGAAGGATGAGATAAGGACAGAGGTGGGAAGAGAATTACAAGGACAGGAAAGAAACGTGAGGTATTTTGTTTCCAAAATAACTCAGAAGCACGTACTGCCCATGGTGGTCACTTCTCTTCAGAAAATCAATCTGTGAATTATTTTTCTTTGTCAATTAGGTAGTTTTTGGTGGACACTCAGCCTCTCAGAACTCAAAAGGTGAAGCAAGATGACCATGAGTTCAAGGCCAGCCCTGTCTACAATGTGAGGTCCTGCCTTTGATGTGGCTGTGGCTGAGTTGTGCAGAGCTTACAGCACCACATACAGTGGACATGGTCCTGCATGTGTGTAATCCTAGCACTCCAGAGGTGGAGGCAGGAGGATGAGATTTCCAAGTTTTTCTCCTACTGCACAAAGTGTTCAAGACCATTTTGACTTAATCATTGTAATTTCCCCCATCCTTGCCCCACTCCATGGTCTTCTCAAAGGCAAACACAGACCTTAAGTCAATGAAGGGAAGGGAGCAGGAGGACCTGCAGATATGGGCTAAGCAGGGAACTGTGTTTTCTTCCTTGTGAGTGTGCTGGTGAGCCCCAGAGAGCACAGAGGCTCACGGGAGTTTGATTTTGGTAAAAATCAGAGGTACTCTAGGGGTACTTTTAGTTTGTTATAATAAGGACACATTGGTGACAAGACTGTTGCTTGCACCTCCATTTCTCTACATGAGGCATTTGCTATTTCTTATTGACCTTTCTCTGGAGAGCTGCGAGGTCAGTGCAGAGGGGGTAGAGAAGAAAGATGCAGATGGTGAGAAAAATGATGGAAGAAATAAGGCAGTGATGGAGGGACCCAGAGAAAAAGAAACAAGATGGGAATCAAGATGAAAAAAGACAGAGAGTGAAGCTCTGAGCCCCAGGAAAGTATTCTCATAGGATCAGAGACAAGCCAGTCTCAGGGTGAAGGGAAAGAGTAACCCAATACTGCTGTACCGACAACCGTCCTCCAACTGCCAGGGTCCATGACTGAACCTGACACATATAGGCTGAAGGCAGCAGGGGCTGATGGCTTCTGGAACACCACAGAGCTCAGAAGTCAGATAAGGGAAGGATGGAGGATGTCAGAGAAGGAATGGAGGAAGTCAGAGAAGGGATGAAGGAAGACAGAGAAGGGATGAAGGAAGTTAAGAAGACATAGAAGAAAACAGGCAGATGGCCATGGAGAGTATAAGGCTTGTAATTCACACAGTCATCCCTGAACTCTTTTGTGCACCATTCCTTCCAGTGGCAGTTAGCTGTCAGTTCAGAGTCAGTATGTTGTCCTGGGAGGAGGAGCAGGTGCAGACTGACTGCACTCACTCTATGTCTTGTTCCTAAAATCCTAATTGCAGCAATATTCCAGCCATGATTAGCTGAGTTTCCTTGGTGAAGGTGTATCCCTTTCTGTATATAGAAATAGCATCCCATATTCTGTGCAGTACTGAGGGAAGTTAAATAAAAGGATGCACGCATCTCTGAGTGAAGAGCCCAGACTCTTATGTGCACCATATGTGCAAATGTGGTGCTGTTCATTGAGCAGTGAGTGGTGGGGATGACTTTACAGAGATGGGGCTGAAGCCAAATACTCCCCTAATTCTGTATTCCCTGTCTCTTCTCCTGTATCCTCCTCCAGGAGCCCCCCTGGACCCCACTTTCATCTTCCAGTCCATCACAGCCAACATCATCTGCTCCATTGTCTTTGGAGAGCGCTTTGACTACAAAGATCGCCAGTTTCTGCACCTTTTGAACCTGATCTATCAGACCATCTCGCTCATCAGCTCATTCTCTGGCCAGGTCAGTGGGTGGGAAGAGAGGAGCATCCAAGACAGAGGAAAGAAAAGGCTTCCTTGTGAGTGAAGAAGGGAGTGTCTTATGGCTGGAAGAAGGATAGACAACATGGAAAACAAGGAGTCTGTGACCTGGAGGGATGGAAGGAAAGAGAAATGGAAAGGGAGAGGGATGCTAAGCAGGGTGAAGAGACCTAAATGCAGAAATACAGAGCCATCCAGACATGAGAAAATGATGATGTGGGGGATACAGCTGTTACTTAGAGGACAGAGGATACAGTATTTCATGCATGAGCCATTGAATTCATCCCCAGGACTTGGTGGTGTACAACACATGAAATTCCAGCATTTTGGTGTTAGAGACTGGGGTATCAGAAATTCAAGCTGATCCTAGGGTACATGTTGAATTTAAAGCTTTCTAGCATTAATGTGTTCAAAATACAATAAGACACAAATTAAAACAAATTAAGACAAAACAGCAAGGGGGATTGAGAGAGAGAGGAGAAGAGAGGAAACGGAGATACAGAGAATGTAAAATGAAGGTTAGAGACTGAATGGAAGATACAGTTCAAGGCACGTGTATGTTTGATGTGCATATGAGAAGGGTGTGAGTGGGTGGATATGAGTGTGTGTGTGTGCACTTGCATTCCTTCATGACATCTGTGGACATAGAAGCACAGCTTACTTTCTGAGACCTGCTAGTTTCAGGTGACCTCCTCAGTCCTTTCTTGCAGATGTTTGAGCTCTATTCGGATTTCCTGAAGTTCTTTCCTGGTACCCACCGACAAATCCACAAAAAGTTGCAGGAAATCCTAGACTACATTTGCCACAGCGTGGAGAAGCACCGGGAAACCTTGGACCCAAACAACCCAAGAGACTTCATTGATACCTACCTTATACGCATGGAGAAGGTAAGTCCTGCGTGAATGAGAGGGGATGGCTGAGAGTTAAGGCTGAGGGTGTGAGCAGAGGAAAAGGGGGCAGAGGATGGGGAGGAGAGAGAGAAAATGAAGTGGAGGAGATGCAGAAGTGTCTGGAAAATGATGAAAATAAAAAGGAGGAGAAAATGTGATATGGAGAAAGAAGGGTGGGGAAGAAACAGAGTGAGGGACAAAAGGCAGGAAAGACCTCAGAGAAAGAAAGAACCTGGGAGACAAGCCATGTTAACCTACCAGAGAGCACAGTAGAGAGAGAAGGCAGAGCAGAAGCCAAGTGACATTTTCGTGGACTGGGAAATGCCATGTGGTCCAAATAGTGAGACAGAAGGACAGTTCCCAGGATGTGTGTGCATCTCCCTGCAAGGCTCCAGGCACCCTGACCCTCCCTTCTCTCTCCCATCTGGAACCAGGAGAAGTCCAACCAACACACAGAGTTCCATCACCAGAACCTCATGATCTCCATGCTGTCTCTCTTCTTTGCTGGCACTGAGACCAGCAGCACCACGCTCCGCTTTGGCTTCCTGCTCCTGTTAAAATACCCCCATGTAGCAGGTAAGCCATAGGTGGCCATTTGGGTAATCTTCTAGCTCCCCCTTTCTGCAGAGGTTTGTGAGGATGAGAGAGACATGGGCCTCTTTATCTGGAGCTCTGAAGGCTGTGGTCAACTTCTAACCAAAGGCAGTGCTGTGGGTGGTGTGTGAATGAAACCTCAGCTGGTCCATTTCCATTGTTCTCTGCTATAACTTGAAGGTTGATTCATCTGTCCTTCCTTTCTTTCTCCCCTTCCTTCCTTCCTTCCTTGCTTCTTTTTCTTTTCTTCTGTCTTTGCATCCTTCTGACACTCATCTCACTGTCCATCCACCTGTTCATCTATTTACCCATTCTATTCATGTTTGAACCATTATTTACCCATCAATATATTCATTTTTCATTTATTTTTATCTATACACCTCTTCACCCACACATGTAATCCTCTGTCCACCTTCTCTATACCCATAAATTATTTATCCTTGATTCTTTCATCTCTAGTTGACTCAATGACATATATTTCATTCATTTACTTGGATGAATCAGTTTATGAGTTTTATTCTTTATCGTGGCTAGTTGAGCAGACTCTCTGTCATTGATTCGTTGGTTCGTTCATATACAAATCTTCTCATTCTTTATTCCTTCCCACTGGCCTTGAATTCACTCTTCATGTGTCAATCCATTCCTTGGTTGGTTGTATTCATTGATCTATTTGTGTATGCACCACTTATTGACTTCTTAATTGATTAATAAAATGAGAAGTGGAATATGAACATCTAGTTTTTCTTTGTTCATTTCACTCACTCAGCAATCTTTCCTTTATTAACCAACCCATTGATCACTTGGCTGACTTACACACTCACATCCAAAGAATTTGAAATTGATATGATGTTGTTGTGAGTTTGTCTGCTGTGTCTCATGTGTGGAGATGGGAGGACAACTTAGTGCAATTGGGTCTCCCTGCACATTCCCGTGGGTTCTGATGTCAAAGCCAGGCTGTCAGGATAAAAATCAATGCATTTCCTCGGTCAATATACTCACCAATGTGTTCACATTCTGTATTTTGTTATTCATAGATTAATTTACTTCCCTTTTATTCCTNCCCGTGGGTTCTGATGTCAAAGCCAGGCTGTCAGGATGGAAATCAATGCATTTCATCGGTCAATATACTCACCAATGTGTTCACATTCTGTATTTTGTTATTCATAGATTAATTTACTTCCCTTTTATTCCTGAGGATACAGCCTCAGATTGTTAGTCTTCTTCAAGAGCAGCCAGAGCTCTTAACTACTGAGACATTTTCTCTCCGGCCTCCTGTATTTTCAAATATAAATTTCATGCAAAGAACTGTGTGTGTGTGTGTGTGTGTGTGTGTGTGTGTGTGTGTGTGTGTGTGTGTGTTATGGAAGAACACAAATTATAACATTACATTTCAAATGCAGAGAATTCTTACCATCCTCCACTCCAGCCCTCACCCAGAATGATAGATGAAAAGAGCCTTTTGCTGTGGGTTTTTCTTTTCTCTCTTTTATGAGCATGGTGGGAGCTTTGGAGAGAGCCTCTAACATAGCTCTTAGCATGATGGGAGAGAAAGATGCCTGAGAGAAGTGCAGGTGTGTGTCCAAGAGTTCAGTGTGTCTTTCTCAACAGAGTCTCCTGGATCTGCACTGTTCCTGAGCTATTGGTTCACAGAAAACGGTCACTGTGCATTGCCTCCATAAAGAGGGAGAGCATAATCTGCTGTCTCTCTTTTCTGTGCAGAGAAAGTCCAAAAGGAGATCGATCAAGTGATCGGCTCACACTGCCCACCAACCCTTGATGACCGCAACAAAATGCCTTACACTGAGGCTGTCATTCGCGAGATCCAGAGATTTGCAGATATTCTCCCGATTGGAGTGCCGCACAAAGTCACCAAAGACACTTTGTTCCGAGGGTACCTGCTCCCCAAGGTGAGACCAGCTGCGATTCCACATCTCTATGCTATGATCATCTCCCGTTCTCCCAATTACCACCCTAGGCCTGTTTGTGGTTTCCTGGCATTCTGTGGCTCTCTAAGGACTGTTTGCTTATGGGAGTCGGGGTATGCTAATATTGCCTCTCACAATGTCTCCTAGAACACTGAAGTGTACACCATCCTGAGTGCTGCTCTCCATGACCCACGGTACTTTGAACAACCAGATGCCTTCAATCCTGACCACTTCCTGGATGCCAGTGGGGCTCTGAAGAAAATTGAAGCTTTTATGCCCTTCTCTACAGGTGAGACGGACCTGTGCTTCATTTTCCAGACACTAGAGGACAGACTTACCCTCCAGGATACAGTCAGGACTAGGTCCAGTCTGTTCCAGCTGGGAACCCATTCCACCTGGCTACTGTCCCAGAAGGGGTCTCTTGAACTAAAGGTGCATCCTACTCAGGAGGATTTTGGAGAGGTATTGAAATGCCTCTAAACCTGAGCAAATTTATTAATTATTTTTTTTAATGAGTGGAGAATCTTTTTAAACTAGTGAAACCAGTTTTCTCTAATCATGATTAAATGGCTGACAGAGGAGAACAATGGATGTTCACAGAGAACACAATGGGCTGAGGGCACAACCAGGTTCCACCACTGCTCCCAGCAATAAACAACAGATTAATTAATAGAGAGGAAAGGAGCACAGATATTCCCAGGTCAGGACGTTCGGGATGTCTTTAAAGTCAATGCAGCAACGCCCACATAAAGTCCTTAAAAGAGCAGAAGACAGTTGCTCCACTTTAGAAAGTGCAATGAGCAAAATAATCCATCTGTTGTTCTCCAGCTGCATCAAATCCATCAGTTCTCTCTTTTGCTATTAGACATTTGTTTATTAATTTTCCTCTTTTATTAAAAGTAGATTCTTTCCTCATACAATATATGCTGATTAGAGTTTACCCTTCCCTCTCCTCCTCCCAGTTCCTCTCCACTCTCCCACCCCACAGGGTACATCCCCTTTCTGTCTCTCATTAGAAAAGAACAGGCTTCTAAGCAATAACAACCAAACATGATGAAATTGAATAGAAGATAAAACAAAAACCATCACTTCAATATCAACAGAAAAAGTAGAGCCCAAAAGAAGGCACTAACCAGAGACCCTCTCATCCGCACACTCAGGAATCCATGGAAACACTAAACTGAAAGCTGTAAGATGTGCACAGAGGACCTGGTGCAGACCCGAGCAGGCCCTGTGCCTGCTGCCTCAGTCTGAGTTCATGTGAGCTTTGCTCAGTTGGTGCAGAGCCTTGTGCTCTTGGTGTCCTGCATCCCCTTCGTCTCTTACCCTCTTTCTGCCTCCTCTTCCACTGGGTTTTCTCATCTCTAATAACAAAGACATTCCATTTAGAGCTTGGTGTTTCAAGGTTTCTCTCTCTCTGTGACACGTCTGGCTGTGTCTCTCTGAATTTGTTCCCAGTTGGTGCAGGAGGAAGCTTCTCTGGCAATGGCTGAATAAGGAGGGCTCTGATCTATGTAGCAGAATATTTTCCGGGGTCATTTTGTTGTTACTTTTATTTTTCCTTTTGAGCAGTAGCATTTTTTTAATTCTAGTCCTGGTTCCTGCTCACTCAAGCAATGCCGCATATTCAAACCATACACTGGATAATTACTCCCACAGTGCACTGCATTGTGTCACTATTGAGCCCTATTATATAACACAGGAAGGATAGCATGGTTCATCAAAATCATGTGGCTGGGTTTGTGTATACATTTCTCATTTGGTAGCTTGTAGAATACTTCCTATAGCAAAGATGCTAAATCAGGGACGTGAAGGTCTATATAGACACCAGCTAGATGTCTCCAGTCCAGTGAGTTGTGTGGGAATTGTCTTCAGCAATGAGGCCTTGCTGTCAGTTTGTGGAATCAACCTACCATCTTGAAACAGCCTTGGGTTGTTTGGGGTCTTCTGTGGGATCCCTTTGGTCAGAAACTCAAATGAATGCAGCCCAGTCCTTGTACTAGAAACTTCATTGAGTGAGAAGAGGGACCAAGTATCCCTCATTATTTGGAGACTTCATTCGAATTGCCTTTCTGTAGTTTAGAAGTTTCTACTATACTAGGTTTCCACACTAGCACTCAATGCCCCACAATTCTGTCTCTGCCCACACTCTATCCCTCAAGCACATCTCTCCTCCTACCTAAATGCCCCATCCTTGTCCCCTCTGATGCCCCTAGTCCACCCATGAACTCTATTCTATTTTCCCCTCCCAGGGAGATTTATATTCCCCTCCTATTACTTTTGTCTGTATTTAACCGTACTGGGTCTATGGATTATAGCTTGGTTATCATTTATTTAATGACTAATATCCACATATAAGTGAATACATGCCATGTTAATCTTTTTGGGTCTGGGCTACCTCACTCTGGATTCTTTTCTAGTTCCATCCTTTTGCCCTTTGCCTGAATTTTCATAATGCTGTTTCTTTTTTAAACACATTTATTCATCCTTCTCTTGAGGAACATGAAGTTTGTTTCCAATTCTGGCTTCTATGAATGGAGCAGGATTGAGCATGGTTGAGCAAGCGCCTCTGTGGTAGCGTTAAGCGTCCTTTGGGTATATGCCCAAGAGTGCTATAGCTGGGTCTGGAGAGAGGTGAATTCCTAATTTTCTAGGGACCTTCCACACTGATTTCCATAGTGGCTGTATAAGTTTGCACTCCACCCGCAATGGAGGAGTGTTCCCCTTACTCCACATCCTCTCCAGCATGTGCTGTCACTTGTGTTATTGATCCTAGCCATTCTGAAGGTATAAGATGGAAACCACAAGTCATTATGATTTACATTTCCCAGATGACTAAAGCTGTTGAACATTTCTTTAAATGTTTCTCAGCTATATGAGTTTGCTCTATTGAGAACTCTCTGTTGAGATCCGTATGCCATTTTTGCACTGAATGATCTCTTTTTATATCTAATTTCCTGAGTTCATTATATAGTTTGGATATTAGTCCTTTATTTGATGTAGAGGTGGTAATAATGTTTCCCATTTTGTAGCTGCCACTTTTTATCAAAGTGATGATGAACTTCACCTTGCGAAAGCTTTTTAGTTTCATGAGTTCCCAGTTTTAATTGATGATCTTAGTGTCTGTGCTATTGTTGTTCTGTTCAGGAAGTCATCACGTGTGTCAACAACTTCAAATCTATTCCCACTTTTTCTCTATTATGCTCAGTGTATCGGGTTTTATATTAAGGTCTTTGATCCATCTGAAGTTGAGTTGTGTGCAGTGTAGTGAGTTTGGACCTATTTGCATTCTTCTACATGCAGTCATCCAATTTGACCAGCATCATTTTTTGAAGACCCTGTCTTTTTTCCCAGTGTGTATTTCTGGCTTTTTTGGAAGGATGTTGTTTTTACTATGCTAACCCTACTGATTCATCAGCATAGGAGATCTTTCCGTCTTCTCATGTCTTCTCCAATTCTTTCTCAAAGACTTGAAGTTTTTATTGCACAAGCCTTTCACTTGCTTGGTTAGAGTTACCCCAGGATATTTATATAATGTGACGCTATTGTGAAAGGTATTGTTTTCCTGAGTTCTTTCTCAGTGTGTTTTTCATTTGTCTGTAACAGGGCTACTGGTCTTTGTGAGTTAATTTTGTGTCCAGCTATTTTGCTGAAAGGGAACATTGCAGATGTTAAATTATACATGTTTACACATACATATTTGTTCCTACTCTGTTGTGTTCTTACAATTTTGAAACAAAGGACTCTGATAATGAACAAAACCTAGAAATCTGTCAGAAATTACCATGTGACACCCACCAACAATTTGGTTTGCAATTTATGACAAATTATTACATATATGTTCCATGCATATACATGTGCACTATGGAGAGTATGTATATGTTTATGACAGAGGACAGACTGTGGCAGTTTGTTCTCTCCTTGAAACATGTGTGTCCATGGAGTGAATGCCTGTCCTCAGGATTGATGCAGGCTGCCTTCCATGCTAGAAGTCTCACTGGCCCTTTACCAATTCTTTAGGATTTGGGAAATTCTTAACATTATCACTTGAACTGCAGGGTTGAGGGTAAAACTCATTCTTCTCCATTGCAATGGGAGAGTTGTCTGAGTTTAGGGAAGGGACAGTCTGAAGATTGCCTACTGTCCTGGGGCTCACATGGCTCATTCTCTGTGTCCACAGGAAAGCGCATTTGTCTTGGCGAAGGCATTGCCCGCAACGAATTGTTCCTTTTCTTCACCACCATCCTCCAGAACTTCTCTGTGTCCAGTCCTGTGGCTCCTAAGGACATTGACCTCAGGCCCAAGGAGAGTGGCTTGACCAATGTAGCTCCAATATATCAGATCCGCTTCTTGGCCCGTTGACTGGACTGAGGTGGCCAGGTGTCCCTACTCCTGGTGAGAATGGATCCAGCTTTCTTCCTTTGTGGGAGCTGCTGCCAACCAGGCCGTAGGTCACTGCTCACATCCTTCAACCTTACTGCAGCTTCTGCAAAACTCTCAGGTGTGTTCTTCTGCCCTGAGAATGGCACAGGAGAAATCACTCAATGTCTTGCTTGATGTGTGAACCGAGAGACTTCTAGAGGCCACATCTCATGCTGAGTCTGTTCCTTACTGCACCCAGCAATTACAGTTTTCATATAGAGACTTCTGGTGCTCAATGAAACAATCTAATGAATGCCAGAGGACATGTCAGAGGAGCAGCAGATGGAAACTGAAGTTCAAAGTGTCAGATCACGAGGAAGAAAACTCTCTGATGGTTTAATCTTGTTTTATGCAAGACTATGAGAACACAGACTCTGCAATATCTTTTGATTCCACTTTGCTTTTACATGTTTGCTGCTACAATTTTCCCCTGGTATCTGGCTTTCCCTGGTGTGAGTAGATGTGGGGAGAACCCACTTCCTGTAACATGGTGTGTTTCTCTCATGAAATCAACCTGACCTACTGGGCAATTTAATCTGTGGCTTATCAAGAAGATGATTCTTCCCTAACTGTACTGTCTAATTGATATAATGTTAGATTATACAGAGTTTTGGTAAATAAAAAAGGAAGTAATTCACAATTGCTGCCTATGAGCTCCACCTAAGGGAATGCTGCAGATCACAGCTCAAGTTAAGAAAAACAATGAGCCAGCTGTCTCAAATTTCTTGAATATTACATTTTGGTATAAGGCTGTTTGGAAATGAACGAGGAATTTTTCAGGATGTGAACCCTTGATTTCATGAAGGATCTCTGAGTATCTCCTCCCCACCACAAAGCCATGTGAGTTGTGTCTTATTCCCACGCATCCACGGTGGTTCAGAGAAATGATCTATGGTCCCCGCTTCCACCTGACCATGACACTTTTGGAACCCAGTCCCCCTCTTTCACTTTTCCATATCCAATATCATCTGCTCCATGATATTTGAGTGCTCTAGTTTCTAGCATCCCAAATTTGTACCTTCACTAAGTTCACCGAGTGAAACATTCACTATCACCAGCTCTTTCTATACCCTGCTAAGGTCAGAGATTACACCATGGGTCAGAAATCAGTATGGATGGATTCTCAGAATAGACCAGGGGTCTAGAACACAGAGACAAGAAAGCTCCCAGATGTCAGATTTCTAAAGGAGTGGGGATTATTTTAGTTTCTCTGTGTTTCTAGGGTGCTATCACTCAATGTGTAACCAGCACCATCCACAGCAACTGAAGAAGAGATGTGTGAAGCGAAGGCATGTTCAGATTGTAAAGTGTGCACCCAGCTGCATGGAGCCCTGGGTCTGAGCCTTGGCATCACATGAAGAGATTGTACTGGGACAGTCTTGTCATCCCATGATTTGGAAGGTTGAGGCAGGAGCCCAGGAGTTGAAGGTTATCCTCTGTCCCTTACAAGGAGGCCATCCTGGTACCCAAGAAACTCTATAGGAAAGAATACACAAAATCCATCTTTTTCTTCACAAAATACATTGTCTACTTGTTTACAGAAGTCTCAGATAGCATTTCTGGTCCTGGTTTGCCACTTACTACTCCTGGCTCTTTGAGAAAATATTTTATGTACTTGAGAGTTTGGTGCATTTATGTTTGTATAGTTTGCACCTGTACGGTGTATATGTTCCTGTTCTTTGAAGGTCAGAAGAGAGTATTTGATCCCTTGAAAGTGGAGTTACAGTGTTGGGAAGTCATGGTAGGGGAACAGCAAACAGCTTTGGAATTCATGGGATGAGACCTGGCAGTCAGCATAAACAGGCTGGGTGAGCCTTGGAGAAGCAGAGCCCTAGGACTGTGTGTCCTGAGGGCCTAATGCTATTACTGAGCATAGCTCTGCTTATTGCCCTCATGGTCACCACGTTCCTCATAATCTATGAGTGGAAAAAATTCTCAGGCACTTTCTAGCCCCTCACTGGGCAGTGTTACTGGTACTTACTCTAATAATTATTGACTTTTTACAAGTATTGCTGCTGGAGCACCCTTGGAAGGAATTTAAACATATAGATTGTTGGTAAAGTTAGGTGAGATTGTTTGGCTTATGGCTTCACTCCAGTCTCTGTTATCCCTAAACCCAAAAAGTCTGGAATGTTTGGGTGGAAAGTTCAATTCCAAGCCTCCTCCCCTGGGAGTTGCCTCAGTCCAGACTCCACCTCCAAGAAAGCCCACCAAACAGCGACTCCTCCTCAGACTCCACCTCAGAGATGCTCATGACTGTTAGGAATATTCCTAAAAGTGAGCCTCTCCACTGAAGCAAATAATCCCAATCAGACAAAATCATAAAATCAGACAGTCCCACATTATAAAGATTTTGTAGGAGGCAGCCCAGGGGTGATGATGGATCTGGCTTCGAATTGCAAGAACCCATTTTAAAAGTCCATGTCCAATTGTGGGGCTCAAGTCTGTCACAGTGCATCTAGTGGTATAACTCTTGAGCCAGAATGGGGCTGTGAAAATTGAATGGTATGCATGCCTGACCATGCAATCTTCACCTCAGCTAAGCCTGGCTTAGCCGCTTGGATAAGACTTTGTGAGCAACTGCGACTTTAACAGAAAGCCCCAAAATCGACAAACATGTGAATGGATCCTAAGCCCTATTGACATAGAGCAAAAGCAAGGGGAACTTACCTAGATAAAGCCAATCTAGCCTAGAAGCCGATTTTAGCTTGGCAGAGAACACTCCCAATAATAGCATTTTCCTACATGTGGCCTTGAGCCCCTGGAAAAAACACGACCCCCGACCCACAAAACGTTAGGAATATTCCTAAAAACGAGCCTCTCTGCCAACACATATAATTCCAATCAGACCGAATCAGACCACCTTAAAAGATATCCAGGTTTAATTGGACACCTGTGCTCTCGGGTGGCCCTAGCCGGAACAGAAGGCCAACAGGACCATTGAGGAGAAAAGGGAAGAACCCTCCCATGGGGTATTTAAACTGCTCCCGTCCCCCCAGAGAACAAATGCGGCTCTCCAGTCTTCCCCATCTTCTCTCTGAGGGCCTGGGGGGCTACCTAGAAATGCTGGCATCCATTAAACCTGGGCTTTTTCTAGTTCAGTTTGATTTGGTCTGATTCAGATTATTGCATAAGTGGGGAGGTTTATTGTGATGTAAAAACTTTCAAAAGATGTTTATGTTAATGGCTTTGATGCAGAAAATCTTGGGGGGGAAATTTAACCTTTAGAAAGGCACACAGTTGAGTGAGGTCTTAGAGATCTGGGAACAAAACAATGGCAGCCCGGCTATTGCTGGCTGATGTGCCTTGATCACAGGTGATGATTAATTCTTTGTCCCCACTTAAGCTCTCAGTTTTCTGATATGTTTTAATAAAAATATTGTTGATGAGTTGGTATACACTGTGAGGTTTTTTAAAAAAAAATGGTGGTTTTTCATAATCAAAAATGTAAATTTGTGATTCTTTTGTGATTTTTTTTATAAAATTACGTTTTGAGATAAATTATAAAATGATTGGTCCTTTCTTTGTAACCCTAAAATGCAGCCTGCCAGTAAAGAACTGGCTAAGAAAAATACCTTGCTCACTTATGTTCTGTTAATGTATAACAAGTTGCTTAGATATGAATGTATGTAGATATTTGGAAATCATTGCCTTTCTTTTCTTCAATACAGGATTCTCTGTGTAGCCATGGCTGCCCTGTAACTCACTCTGTAGACCAAGTTGTCTTGAACTCTCAGAGATCCAACTGTTTCTGCCTCCCAAGTGCTGGTATTAAAGGTGTGTGCCACCCCCACTCAGCTTGTTTTCACATATAATATGTAGAGGGTTTAATCGTGTCAAGGAAGTGAGAAACATGCTATTGTTTACTTGTATTCGTTGCAATTCTTAACTTGAAAAATAGAATATAATTGCATTATTTTTATAGTGCTTAGGAGATTTTGCTTGGGTGCATAAACTGTAATGAAAAATAAAAGATTTGAAAGACCCTGACATTGTGGAGATGTGTGTGTGTATGTGCATATTTCATTTTTCATTCCCCCGGAGAATTATGTTTTACTCCCTTGAGAAAAAAATCTATTGTATGATCAATTGCTGGCTCCATGCCTCCTCCTCAGTTCTTGAAATGCTGAGAGTGATTTTGTCCTAAACACAGGTTAATAACTAATCATCATATTGCAGTTCTCTGCGTTACAGAGTTCTATATGATTGGCCGCCTATGGAATAACAAGGCTAAAGCTCTTAGCTATTCAGACTTTCATAGAGAAGTCCAAACATGTTTATTAAAAACTGTCAGCATCACATCTATGGTTGGTAAATAAAAACTGCAGTCTAACTGCTCCTATAATTGTTAATAATAGGACAAAATGCTTATATTATGAGTCGATATGAATTCTAAGCATCTAAAACATATAAAAGCCTGAGGACATCAATACACTTTGTAAGGTTATGAAGGCATAAAAGCTTGGTTTATTGCATGTGAGAGGATATTCTGAAAAATAGAAATACAGTTTATAATGGCTTAAGATGAATATAGAAATTATTACAGAATTTCTTTCCCCTTCCATCATATCATTAAACTAGTATTTCCGAAGTTCAGAGTTTAATATTAATAGAGTTCTGATAAGCTAGCTTAGCAATTACTGATTGCTGTTTGGGTCACAAGCTCAAGACTGTAAATTTCTTTTGGTTGTCTTCTGAATACAGGCTTATGTGCTGTTTAACCCAAATGTATAGTTGTGCTAGGACTCAAGGATATGAGTTTACTCCTGCTGTTTTACAGATACCTGTTCTATGCTTCTCCTACAATATGGATTTCAGTGCAGATTGATAATGCTAATATATCAAAAACTTTTTTTAATAAAATGATTCATACAAACTTCAGAAAATTGAAAAACTTGGAATTACTTCTCACAAGTTAAAAGGATTATGGTATTTCTTCTCTCTCCTGGTCTTGGGGCTCTGCCCCTCCCCCAATTATTGAGGCTATAAGTTTACAGTTTTCAAATGAGTTCCTAAATTTTAACTCCTGTTCCTCTTTGTATCTGTCTTACTACAAGGTTCCTACTTGGCTGACAAACACATCCAAGCATCAGTTGCTTAACTTGCTAAAAATGACTATGAGTCTGAACTTGCTTAAATCTGGTGTGGACCAACCTAGGCAATGTGATTGCTGTCTCTTGAGCTTGCCGATGAACCAGATGCTTCCAAGTTCCCTCATTGCCTTTGACTGACATTCTGGCCTTCCAGGACCCTGAGAACACTGTCCTAAGGTCAGCAGGAAGTAATTACAGAGATAAGTATGTCATCCCTGTTTCCTCCCTGGAATGTTAGATAAAATGGGAATTTCTCAAATGTTGAATTGGTAATCTCCAGTGTATTAGATCTTATTAATCTCTTGGTTTAAACTACAGTAAAGCTCTACCAATGGACCTGTTGCCTTGTACCTGTCTGTTCTTAATGTCTCTTTATCAGCCCTCTTAGGTCATACAAAAGTTGCACGTCTTGAACAAAGTACTTGTATTTGCTATGGGAAAGGTGTGGACTACAGATTAGTACTATATTATTTTAATGGATTTAAAGTAATTTGTAAGTGTAATGAGTATAAATTTTAAAATGC